CCGGTGTGCGGCCGCTGTCGCATCCAGACAGCTTCTTGGAGCCACATCTGAGAACTGATCACCTCGGGGAGACCAAACAACGGAGGATGTAACAAAGGAGCCGACAACCCTCCTTCTCCATATACCCCAGATTCCATGGATCAAATTAATTTCATTCCCATTTTACGACTGCAAACGTAGTATTTTTCAGTTTTCCATTTTTCTTTTATTTTTATTGAATACATGATGATACAATTTTCAGAAACGGGTAAGTGGTCAATCAAGAGACTGTCATGTAACACTCAATGGGGAAAGTCAGGGGATGGTAGTAGGATTCGAACACAACCTCCCAAGGTGATAATTTGGTGACGTTACCACTGGGACACCAACTCCCAGTCTTGGCTTTGGTAACCACAGTAACCAAACTAACCACAAAAGCTGGATAGAGACATTCCAGCGTCCCCACAGCNTTGCAGCAAAATTATAAATCGTCGGCTGACTTAGCTTGATCCTCCACTGGAAATCAGCCAACGCGTTCTTTCCATCAACTGCACGCTCCCGAAATCGAATCATTAGGCATGGCAATTAACTTAAATTGACTCAATAACTTCTGTGCTTGTTTGATTGAGACACATGGCAATGCCCTCAATGATAACCCACTTCGTCATCAAATTCTAAACAGACTATTTCTTCGAATTTGACTCATTATTACTTGTGAGTAGTGTGTGTGGGATAATTGATATTTATTGATTTGACTGACTATCCTTCGGACTTCACCTTCACGCACAATCCTCAGTTCTTCGATTTAGCCATACACTCGGAAGCACTAAACTCGAGTTTAGCTCTTATTAGAGCTCATCAGTAGTGTATATCCACCGTCCAGTCCGGGATTTGAACTCCGACCCCATCGCATGGAAGGCGTGTGTTACCACTGTGCCAACTAGCTCATGCCATAGCTGAACAAAATTATCAATTCATGTTTGTTCAAGTGTTGTCTTCAGTGATAGTCAGTCAGTTCATTTGGCCCGATAGCGATGAATGGGGTTAGATGAGAATCTGTTAACTCCAAGTCCATTCATTCTGGAGTTTAAATCCCGGCCTGGACAGTGGATATGCAAAACTCGAGTCTATTGCTTCCTAGTGTATGGTTGAATCGATGAACTGAGGATGAACTGAGGATCAACTGAGGATTATGCGTGAAGGTGAAGTCTGAAGGTTAGTCAGTCAAATCATTCAAGACTATTTCTTCTTTAAGAAGACACTCATCACTAGATACGGAATGCATAAAATCTTCTAGCGCATGGCATCAGTCCTCTGATCGCTCTATTACCGGTTTATTCACTGTGGGTCTGAACCCAGCTTTTAGGTAAGCGTTGATCAGCATGTGCACATGAACGGATATACAAGATTGTTTGACTAGATATATGACCATCAGAAGGTCCATTTCGGCTTTCAAGTTGGATTGCATATCTTCCGCCAATAAATTCCAATAAATATTTCAGAACATTTAAAAGACCAAATCAAAAGAATGGTGCGTTATTCGTATCACTGAAGAACATTTTGGAGGCAGCTGTGAAACGTGTTTCAGTACATATTATTGGGAAGAACATCTGAAAGACCACATCACACCTTGATTTATTGATTGTAACACTGAAGAGCGGTTTGGAGGCAGCCATACTAATTTCACATTCAAGAATGTTGTGGCTATCTATGAATAATAAAATACAGCGTCCTCGAGAAACCGTCTTTTGGTTGGTATAGGATAGTCAATTACCGAATAAAGAAGCATTTTTTGAAGAAATCCAATTGTGCCATTGATAATAAGGAGATATTGTGGAGTTGCCTTGAAATACGAAGGTATTTTGCTATACACCTCTGAGCTGCACTTTTCTCATTCGGCACTTTCAACACATTATGCCTTTCTACCGTGTACACTCTTGGCTGAAGTATAGGCTTTACGTCCAAATACAACTGCACGTTGCATGGCAAGTGGTCAACTTATAAAAGACTCAATCACCAATTGAGAACTATCATGAAGTGCGGCTTACTGTTCACGTGACATTGCTTTGTCATGATCTACGTTATTGCGTATGTCGTGGTTTTGAGCCTGATAAAATGTGAGAACATTGAAAAAGGACACTTCTAATTGGTGCAAAATAACAGGAGATTGACGTTATCTGTAGAATATCGATTACAAGACATGCGCTACCCGTTCATCGCGAAGGGACCCGTTTCTTTATCCCTCTACCAAACTCGTATGATCACACACCCTCACATGACCACTGTCTCTGACCTGCATAGGATTCACTTCACCTTTTAATTGTCCTGCCGGATTGATTTATCTTATCCTGATTGGTCCTCTAGCTAACCCATGGGTTATATTAACCCACCTGTGCATGTGCAATCTGAGGCTACTTCACTTTTCGATGGACGAAGTGATGAGCTCCTTCGTTTGCAGGGTTGTTTCTCGATTGGCTTGGTTCGTTTTACGACTGCAGAAGTAACCCTTGAGGAACAACATGATACCAAATACGTTTTCTATTCAATTGCAACCCTGTTATTTAAAGTACCGCTATTGATTGGAATAGGATAGGAACTTTCAGACTTCGGTTATAAAGTTGCTCGTAAATCAAGATGAAACTAGGTAATTTAAAGGTTTACCAATAGGCTTGCTTTATTACATGCAAATATTTGTTAGTTATGTAGTTCAGATTTTTTCGATGATTACACGATCACTCTGGGAAAATCAGTGCTAGTTTTCCTAAATGTGTTTGGCTCTACTTTCTACTTTCCTATCTTTCTCCCTCTCCTACATCCAAATGGGCAGCCAAAAGACAACAAACAAAATTACTGCACGAAAGTGCATGGACAATGGCTGTACAAACTGAAACTGATTATGGTGGGAAGATTTAATCTTCCAGACCTTGATATATATATCCTGCGACAAAAGTATTACAGACCCCCCACCGCGGTCCTACATAGCCTACATAGCCGTTCATAGCTACAAATTCTCCGGAAGAGAAATTGAATGTTTCAGTATTTGCGCTTTAACAACTATGAATATCTAAGTAGTGTATATAAAGTAACAATATCCATTGACTGCACTAGACTCCAGTTTTAATGTCGAATGGCAGAATAACAACGTTGATTGGTTATTTAATCAATGACTACTTACCATTGTTCTATTTTTTGTGTTAATAACTGTTCCCTTCTGTCTCGGTTTTATTGTATTACAATTTTACACATCATTCTGGACCACTACGTTTGAAAGTGTTCATACGCAGGCGTCAAGTGACTTAATCGTAATTCAGTTTAAATTTACCGTATTTTTATCGATTACTAATTTCCGTAGAAATACGATTCACGTAGAAATAAAGTACCTCAACCTTTTATGTGTTTTCCGCGTCCGCCCAGACCGTACTTGAGACCGCCATTGATAATTTCTAGTTTACCGCTGCACTAGCTATTTTTTTTCTTTCTATAACCACCATTTTTAAGAATCTCACAAAATTTGAGGTCATAAGTAGCAATTGTGCAATTCTGTTGGTACCTTCCCCGAGAGCTTTTGCTTGTGCAAACTTCGTTTGACTGGTTTGTAGCTGGTTCCACTTCAAATACTGCACCACAGTGTGATCGGAACCTACGATAGTGTCTGACAATCTCATGTGCACTGACGGATCTCACGAAAGGCATCAATTATGGACTTCGCTGTTATCACTAAGCCTCTTCCACTGCGCCAGGGTTCGTAATGAATGGTTTGTGGTGATCTACTTGCATGTCTTTGTTCTTTCAAGGTCACTGAGAGTGACGCGAGCGTGTTCGTAGCTAACACCTGTCTGTCAACCGATGACCCACCAAGATTGCCATTTGCCGAATTACAAACTCAGGATGTCTATCGCACCCGTTTTTAAAACCGAGGTGGGTGTGTGTCGCCCATAGGGGGTGTAACACTCTGGTCACGGTGAAAATTTGCTTTTTGTGACGTTTGATTAAATTTCATATTTCAACTTTTCATTCAGTTGCATGTCTAGATTCTCAAAGATGGTGATGATCGTGTATGTGGACGGTGAGATAACCGAAACATTTAAGGCGGGGAGGGTGGTGCAATATTTTTTTGAGGCAATTATTTTAATTTAGAAGAATGTGTCATCAAACACCTAAATTCAATTCTTACCGTCAATCGAAAGTAACGGACGGATGATACGTTCATGAGCCTCGTGGATCTGCGCCTTGCGACTTCGCATTACCGGCGGATCGAATCGGATTTGGGCATTCGGTGGAATGCATCCACGCTGGATTAGATCTATCACCGCCCCAGCCTTGGGCTCGACTCGCTCCATACGAATCAACTGCTCAAATAAGAAGAGAATGAAGCAAATGATAATACTGCTGATGTGTTGTTAAGTCCTATTCAACCATCGGGAATCAGTTTTATTGTGACGAAGGTTAGCATTACCGGAAAACAGGAAGGTATTCTCCAAGCCCGATTGGTTGATTTCAGATCAGTCCTACTGATTGCATGTGAACTCTCTAGATATCACACTTGTTGACAAAGTAGATATCTTGATAACAAGTAAACCACGCTTAAGAAAACGATAAGCACAACTAAATATTCCAGGTAAGTTCAAATGGTTCGTTAAATACAAAACATTTATTCTCCTCTTTTATCCTAATGGGTCGCCAAAAGACAGTGACCAAAACCGGCCCCCGAAAAAGCATAATTAATAGTTGTAAAAACTAAAACCTATACTTATATACAAAACAATCCTGCGAATAAGTTAACTACTAGGTTGGTAAAGCTCATCATTATTGTATTTTTAACAAACCTTGTTTTACGTTATCCGCACAGCTGGGTTAGTTCTTCTTCTCCACGCAATCGCCATCCTATAAAAACACATGAACTTGATTCGTTTTATATTTAGCATGTTCAGTTTGATCCCATATGTATTTCCACAGATTCCAGAGACTGCCATCACTCAGTAGCTTCATTGCAGAAGACTTTGTTGTAGCCCCAACCCGTGCCACACAAACTCAGACGTGGACTTACGGCTGTGCGTTTTCGGGGCATGTCTATCCGTCTCGGTGCTGGTTCCTGTCCGCTCTATATCTTATGTTAGCAGCTTGCTTTCCATGCTCCCTCCCTCTACCCCCAGCCTAATAACTTCCGAGGAAATGGGACACTCAGGATCAATTGCTTATCGCTACTGACTACCGTGCTAAGCCAGACTGGTGGAATGCAAAAAAAGCACAAAGTGGCAAGTTGGCTCCTTTCACTGTTTCCTAGTCATACCAGTTCGAATAATTACAGAGGGAAACGGGAAAGTAATTCCATCGTTCAAAAATTTGAATCATAATGGCCCTTCGTGGTCAAAACAGAAGCAGACAACCAGCTAACAAATCTGAATATCTGCCTAACTTGTCGTGATGACGGGCTGGTCAAACGGTTCGTGCACGGGACAGGGATGGGGAACTGCCTGCACATTCAATTCCGTATCTTCACATCATTCAGTGTGAAGTTGGTACCCGGAATCCTGGTGGATTCCGCGATGTAATAACAAGAAGCGCTTCCCAAAAGCGAATAGCTGAGTACAGTGGTATGTGCACCGCCTTTCAGAAGCAATATATTGCCTAGTATTTCATACAGAAGGTTGTCATATGCCATTTACAAAACCTCCCCTCGCAGCCAAGCTACAAATTACATCCGCACTCAACCCATTAGTCTATCTGCGGCTGAACAACGGAAAGTCCGATTCTATTGTTTCTTTTTGTATCTGTTAATCCGCATATTCCTATGGAACGAAGAGACCGCGCAACTATAAGTCTCTAAGAGCGCATCTGTAAGCACCAACCTATAAATTTGAAATAGGGAGTAAATGAGTCCTCAAGTGTGATCGTTTCGCGCCTTCGTGACACTAATCGAGTTTTAAATGTGACCAAAGTGTTCCTCGCCATGTACAAAACTCGAAAGGAACCTTCCATGCACGTGCGGTTTTATATTCCGGTCACAGGGAGGGCGGTTAAAATCCGTCTACACAACCCTGCTTTGTGCTCAGTGGCAATTTGTATAGGCACTCAAGCGGCGGTGGTCAACACCACAAACAGGTGCCTCATCCTAAAGCACCTGAACCAATAATAATTGATTCTTATCTAAACCGCCATTCAAAATGAGGAATGATTATGGTCTACAGTTTTGAACATTCAAATTACTTTTCTATCTCCTTTGTAAACCCCTGTCTATAATTTGTGTAAATAGCTACCGAGATGTGAACAATTCTATTTAGTTTATCTTTAACACAAGATATATAAACACAAAGCGCGGGTTCCCAGCAAATCTATCTTTTTCCTCCTTCTCATTTAGATTTTTATTGTCTTTTAGATGGAGGTTTTCGTTTGAGGTATTACTGGCTTTGTTATTAATGGATGGCATTTCGACAAAGAACGCAGTGCGATTTTAGACAGGCCACCTTTCTTTGAATGTTGCTTCGTTATCTATTTCAACTTTTACATTCTAGATAACCGAAAGAGTAAGTATCGGCTGCATCATCCATGTTTAATAAATTTGTGGCAATTTGGGAAATCACTGAAATTTTCTCCTTTTTGTTAGCCCCTAGTTGGACACGGAGTAGTAGAAATTGTGCTGTTATTCATTAGACATGTTTGAGCTTAAAGGTTTTACTCACTTTGTTTCTTGGTTTTCTCATGTGATCTTCTATGCTAGACAAATGTACTGGAACTTTCTCCGGAGTTTCTGCTACGGATTTCTAGAGCAAAACGTTGGCAGAATAAAGAGGGAGAACATCAATGTCATATAGACTTCAATTGTAAGAGCCAACTCCTAAGAATGAACACAACAGTTTTAGGTGAAACTAATGAACTTTTTCAAACACATGGCTATTCTACATTTTTGCAACTTGAAACATCCAACAAGATGCATCTTTGAATAACATAAGCTTTTCCAATAGCTTGTATTCTGTTCTAAATTTGCAAAGGAGGACCTTGCAGCAGTTTATGAGTTCACGTGACGTTATTCCTTTCCATTTCACTTAATACCTACTTAGTCTCGCCGACCATTTTTTAAAAGAGCCTGGGTTTTTCTGCTATTTGCAAATATTGTTTTGAATGACAATGAAAGGCAATAAACTGGTTGACTTTTGTGAATAAAACCAATAAAATGTCCGGTTCCCGGTAATCATTTTACAATTCAACAGTTTATTCAATAGTTTATTCAATCAAACTATCAGTCTAAGTTGGTTGTCCAATAATGGGACTCATTTACTGACGATCACGACTGACTGTGTTGAGGAACAGTTGTAAAATGCACATTCCTTCGCTATTCATTCAATGATTCAACTATAATTTATCAATCAAATAGACCACCATTCTCTCTCTTTAAAATTATCCCAAATCATCCCAGTCAATGCGTCGCCCCCCCAGCCCCCAATCCTCTGCGATCTAGCTAATTATAACACACTAAACCCAATCGTTGTCTATTTGTAGTCTTCTTTTGGCAGCGATCAGTGAATTTCACCTGACTATGTTACGCTGTACGATGATGATTTAGTCCTAAATCATTGCGAAAATGTCTTTCAAGTGTTTTGATAAAGTACCTCAGAAATCTACCTAAAACAGAGAAAGCTCCTCTGTGAATACCTACAGCTGTAAATATTTCAGCCACCATCCTTGAAAAATGGGATGGTTATTGGCAGTTATAAACAGATAAATGACAGTTCACTTGTATTTTATGATGTCGAAACTGCCATATGTAACAAAGCATTGATGATGCGGCATTTTTTCAAATGGTCAAATACCGTGCTTTCAAACATCATTTTGTTTCGAATACATTATTTGTTCAAAACTTTTAACTCAGTTTGCTTAATTCAGGTTACTTATGCATCACCTGAGAGAAGTACTTCAGGCAATCTGAAATGAATTTCGCAAGATAGGGCTTTAATAAATTAGACACTAGAGAAGAAGTGTCTTCTCAATATTATCTAAATGGTCCCATTAAATCAATGTCCTCAGAATTTAAACACAGATGACATTCAACTAATTATTTTTAATTTACAATGCTTGGTTTTAAAAAAATATGAAGAGCAGAAGAAGCAAATTTTATTAGTATGACAGAGAGAGACAGCGCATCGGTGGTGAGGACAAGACGTAAGGCATCCTTCAAATGTGCCCATGTTACGTACCGTTCAGGTACTCAATTTTCATAGCATTTTTGGGCTACACCTTACGTTTTGTGATATGACACGCTTATAAACACCAGTCGAAAGGATAAATGAGAGAAACTCATGGACAACCGATCGATGCGTGGATCGAGAAAATCTTATCGGTACAAATCGGGCATAAAGTCTGACGCAAATGAGATGTAAATGTTCCCCATACCCAAAAACTGAACGCCTGATTGCGACAAGTATTCCAAACACACAGGTCTCGCCTAATTTGTGTTTGCGCATATCGACTCGCGTTTCCTTTCAGTCAGCCATGGAAATGCAAAGCAAGGATACCAAAGTAACGTTAGAACAGCCAGAATAGTCGTTTCCCCTAGAACAAGCAACAAGTCTATCGGACTAGTTTCTTGTAGTGAATCGTTCGAATGCCCCGACAACACCGTTTCTCGTTTTCTGCCCTTTCAAACAAGCTTTCCCACTTTGTCAATTGTCGATTTGGGGTAACAGCTACAAGCCACATTTTGTCTATAGTCGATAAGTAATGGAGTTGGTCCCAATACCACAATAAAGCAAAATGGTAAAATTCAAAGGTTTCCTACTGGTAGTGAACAGAAACTTGAAAAAGAAATGATCCTCTCGTCAAAGCAACACTACGTCATGGAGACGTAACTAAGACACGCACATCTACATCAACCTGAGGTCCACAATCTGAGTAGAATGAAGGTTGCTTATTACCCGTGTGAGCCTGAACGTACTGGCTGCTAGAAAGTCACCTCAAAATTAAGCTGAAGGATAGTGAATAAAGAAAATATTTATATACATTCACAAAAGTATACCGTTATCGATTGTGTTTTGAAGACCGTGTTGCCTTTGTAAATTGTAAGCAGCATGTTACTCAAAATATTCCGTTAAAAATAAAGCTGCCTACGCATGGCTTGTTATCGCAGCTCCGAGTTTCACGAGTTCCTGTTTTTTTTGTTGTTTGGTAAGCAGCTGTAGTTCCAAGATTACAGAATGGATTGTAAAAATATATGGTTCTCTCCGCTTGTGGACAAGTATCATAATAGACTGCTTTGGAGAACTGTCTACCCTCCCCTCCCAAAAACAAAACTTGTTTGTAGCAAAGTTATACACTCATGCCTGCAAGAAAAATATGTATACCCAGACCACCATAGATACACCACCAAGGTACGCATTGAGTGATAGATTTTCTTAGCAAAGCCTAAAGTTCGTCAACATAAAACTGTTTTAATGGAACGCAACAACGGCGGATGCAAAGTTAATTTGATTTCATGGATCTTCTACGCAGGATGAAATGTAGTGACCGCTTTATGTTTTTTTAACTTAATAAGTAACAGGCAAACGTTTCTTCCAACTGTCTCACTGGATTGCACTACTGCACGGCTCCATAGATGTTTCTTTCAGTTCTACCGGAAGGCCCATGCATTTGGTTAGGATGCTCCCTACAAAGGTCATTCCCTGTTCAATTTAGCTTGTTTTAGATCGCTATGCACCAATCACGTCATACTACGTCTGTCTCTGAGTTCACTCTCACAAGCTGTCAGTTACTGCTACCAATTTTGTCTTGTCCCCTAGCATCAAAACTTTGATGCCATATTCAGTTACCTTATTAGACACATGAGTCATCAGGTTCCCTCGTCAAGCACAAGTGAGAAATGAGTGTTGTGAACATTTTGGTGTTTCTCGTAAAACGTGCAAGGATGTGTAACACTTTTCAAAATGAATTTTATCTCCTCCATTTTTTCGGGTCATATTTGGTACAAAAACAAAAATGCTTTTCATTCAACAACACTGATTCGCGACACCGTTTTCCGGAATGAACGCATTCTAACCCGATCGCTGCAGGGTAGATCTATNTAAAAGCCTCTAGCCCTATCAGGTTGTTCCGGAATCCGTCGTATTCGAGATAGTCTCTGATAGCATGTAATGTGGAGTTGTAGGCATCACTTACACAACCGGTCCGCTATACATGTTTTGATTTGAACCCCTAAGAAGTGGTGACGGGGTTAGTTCATCTCAGTCAGGTATGCATTGAAAAACCGCAAACATAAAGTTTGCATCTCAACCATGGAGAACTCGCGCCCGAAAATAGCGAGATAAGCAGATAGATTATTTGTCATCAACTGGTTCATTTAGTGGACAAGTTTGCACTCAACATCAGTAACTACACTTCGTTGACTCAATTGGTACCGAATGAATATTTTTTTCTAATTAACTGCCCACCCACTTTTACTGCTTCCGACGAAAGATTTCATGGTCTAAAAATAATTAGCCCACATAAACATAATCGAAATAAGCAGCATGAGGTTTTACTATCGATTATATACATAATTTATTTTTATTAAATAATATTTACAATAATTAAATATAATACAAAGATATAAGCATCGACAATTACGGAGCAGTGGTCAATGGACTCGGGATAATAGTGATGCATGTGAAGAAGATAGTTATGTGGAATTTTGCAAATTTGTTTCATTTAGGGTTTTCCGAGTATTTTTTAATATAGCAATTCAATTTTCAAGAAACATGTTTCACAAATAGTTACAATAATCTGTCATTCTTTTCTGAATTCAAAATTATTTGTATTTCTCACATTTAATGCCCACGGTTGAGTGAAAATTACTTTCGGTCGAACTCCCGTGAAAAGTTGCACGACTGCACCAGTTCACTGGATTGGCTTGGCAGCAAAGTTCACTCACCTTGCACCGCTCGATCGGTTCCAGAGTTGGCAGTTCGATTCCGTACGTTGAATCAACCATCTCATGATTAAATTGATGAGTCGGATCATTGAGGATTTTGATGGCCAGTTCCAGTTTTAACTATAACGCACCGATGGTTGTATTTTATTTGTCAACGGATAAATCTCAATTATCAATGATAATTCATAATTAAACACCGAAAAGCAATCAATTTAGTTTCTATCCCGCATGGTATCATGCACATCTGGATTCATCATTTTCTTCAAACGTATAAAGTTATTATCCGGGTTTACAATTAATATCGGCTTTGAAGTTCAGTTCTGGAAGTTCATTAGATCACCGCAAAGCTATACATAAGCCACAGACATGTTTCGAACCACACACAGAATAAGACTTGTCCCTCAGCCATACCATATAATTTAGGGACTGCATTTTGGTCACCTCTGTCTTCATTTGTCTTATTCAAGGAACATGAATGGCAGTGGTCGAGCGTTCTGCTCCTTACCCTATTATAGTCCCAAATTATCCCAAGTTGTCCTTCAGTGTGACTTGTATGGTTCGTATATCAGAGTAGAGCGAAGTAAACGTGCTTAAGCGCCGACAGTTTTCCTTAGCACTGTCTACGGGAAGTTTTACAAGAACACTGTTGGAGCTACTCCAAGTATGATTAGAGAAAATTTATGTAACATGGTACCAATGAATTAATTAAAGTGATGAAATCCAATGCATCCGCTTCTCTATGTGATTGAAGTTACCGCCGATTCACTGTAATTTACGATGTATTCACTTGAATTTGGAAAGTTATAGGTGGGGTCTTACTGTGATCGCTTTTTCATTCAGATGATATGATGTCATCGGAGTTCTCTTTTATATTGTCATTGTCGCTCTGATTGACTTTTTATTCGTTATGTATAATCAACATACAGCACTATGCAACCAACTGAACAAACTGCACAAATCTTGGCTTGCTATCTTACAGTAGGTGGTTGTTGTCTGGTGAAATATAAACGCTTCCACCACCATTAGAACAGAACCACACTTTTCGATTTTGCTGCCTTGCGTTCCTTATTGATCCAATGAGGATATGCAAGTGGTCAGATGAGTACAAATGAATGACCGAGTGAGACACGTTACCTACAGGAGCTGGTTAAGAACCTTTCCCTACTCACTACCTTCTGGTAGGGGAGGCTTTATCCTACTAAATTGGGAGGATAAACAGCCAACTTCCGGGTACATAACCGGGTTGATGAGCCATTAGCAATTCACCCAAGGGAGTTGTCTAAGAACTCTGATTCTAAATCAATAAAGACGAGGCGTATGAACCACACACACACACTTTCCTGCTTGAGGCAGTGGTCACTGGCTCNACCTTGGACTTTTGATCTCGTTCAAAGAGCGTATGATTCGATTAACAGGACACCGGTCCCCCATAGACTGCGGTTTTCCCGCTGTCTTGCGGATCAGACTCCGGTTGTAAATTTCGTAAGAAAATTCACCTACCTTAGCCTAAACAACCTGGCAGTATTCCGTCCAAAATCAAATAATGGAACTGTTTTCTTTTTATAAGGATTAATGTACCGTGATTTGTTTGGCACACAGTCTGACCTCATAAATTTTTGAAATGTAAGATATAAATTTACCAAGCGAGACAGAACTACACTCCCTTGAGAGTGATTCAAGCTCTGTCTTCTCCCAAAATTTCCGTTTAGTTTCACCAGTTGGAGAGACAAGAAAATCAACGCACGCTATAAGGCAATCAATTCATACAGGTGGGTTTATTTTATCTAGTCCTTGAACAGTGACTCTGATTGTATTAGCGTTACACTTCAGTCTTTACCAAATCACCAATCATAGCGTGTGTCTCACCACTGCCAAAGTCATACACTGCGCATACGCACTCCAACTTGCGCGTTGTAGACCTGGTGAACCCGTAAGAATGCATATCTTTGGCACATAACGTTGAATAAAAATCTTGACTGAGTTCATTGTTTCATTTTTGTTACTTCTGTCATTGTAATAGGCGAATATCTCATCAAGATTCTCGGCTAGCAAAATGTCACCCAAGGGGCCGTTTAAAAGCGGGAGCTAGTCGACATTGGTGATATATAAACATTATTTACGAAGCAATATAACGACTACTTACACCGCGCAACTATTGCTTTGTGGCTTTTATCATTCAACAAGTACGCGTTGAATTTTGTATGTAATGTGTATGTCTCTCAATAATCATACCAGAGCTAACTTCTGAAAACCTCAATATTGAACAAGCTGTAATTAAATGAATCTCAATGAAAAGTGCTTGATCAAACATTTATATGTATATCAAAATATAGCTTTCAAAAATTGAAAAAGCAAAACTTTTTACTGGTAATTAGGTTTTCTAGATAGATATCGTTAAAAGAATTCTAGCTATTTGTTTTCAAAATTCGAGAATACCATTATACTTGGAATACTGACAGATTGAAGGTATTGATGGAACCTTTTGGAGTGAAATGATCAGTTTACGCAAGTAGAACAAGAGCTTACTTTTTCCCCCGGACTCATGTTTAGCAACGGATATACGTCAATCGTATCCAGAGCTTCCTCTGATTTGAGAAGTGATTTTCTGAAATGAAAATCAAAATAGGTATTCCTTAGAGTAACCATGAGCACTCTGGAACTCATGGGGTATTGTTTCATGATGACGAAGACAAAACAAACAACAAACTGCTTGAAATTTGTTTTCTTTGTTTTTATCCAAATAGGATGTGATTCATACCATTAAGACAGGGTCAAAAGTCCCCTTGCAATTAATTTTAAAAGGGAATTGAAATACTTTTCGGTGAAACATTTTTCCTGTAAAAAGGTATCATTTCATCGCACGAATATTCCGACAATAAAGCTAAACAATGTCTTACAACAATTTTTATGGAACGTCTCAGAAGACAACTGACAACTTCGAAGCCAAGATCCATCGGATTGATCGGTTATTTTATAAAACAAATTACATTCAAAGAGCAATACTACTCTATATCATTCAGCTTATCTAGTCAAATTAACCTTAAAAAGCACAAAATTTGAGTTTTTACTCTCTCGCTCTATCCCTTGGAAATCGCCTTTATACATGGTTCCCCAAAAAGTCCAACAACGAATGGATGCCCTGCGGCAACTATAAGGCTCCAAACAACAACACCCGCCAGAGCGATATCCAATACCGCACATTCAGGATTTAACAGAAAGTTTAGGATAATTTAAAACTTCAGCAAAATTGAGACGACAACTGAACTCTCTTACACCTTCAGAATGTCCAAAACAACCACAAGGACCGAGCCATTGGGTTATTTTTAGTTTTTGCGTATGCCTTTTGGTATGAAAAACGGAGGCCCAACTTCCTAACACTTTATAGACCAAATATGTCAAGGCCTAGACAGCACACTTGCTTACTTGGACGACTTCTCGGTTGCTAGTGTAACACCTGAGGAATGCGAATAATATCTGCGTGCTCTATTAGCACGTCTGACACAACATTAGATCAACAATAATTCAGCTAGACGTTCCTTTGGAGAGCGCAATGTAAACTTTTTAAACCATGTAATCTCCAGCATAGGCAGTTCCCCGTTTAATTACAAAATAACAGTCATTTTACAATATTCAAAATCGACTTTCATCAGACAGCTTTGACGCTTCGATGGGCTGGTAAACTTTGGCGGTCGTTGTATACCCTACTGTTCAAAGTTAATGCAACTACTCATACAAATTACTACGTGGTAATTTAAAACGATTTCCTTTCACCAACAAGGCCCACAAAGCTTCCCCTAACTCAAAGGGCCATCTCCAATGTGGCCGCAGTTTTACATCACATCCCAGATGCACCTGTAGCGGTTACCACAAACGCATCAAACGCAGCAGTAGGTGCAATCCCATGCAGCACGACTTTACGGCTAAGTGACACCTGAGTGTCCCTCTTAGTGTAACCCCGAACGTCTTATTGAAAAGCTTAAGGTAATATCAGGGGTTGCTAGATTAATTCTCTGTTACTGTAGTAGCGCGTACTTAAAGAGTCACAATCCTTAATATTCTTCTCAAAACGTTTGCAACCCGCTGAGCCTCGTCGCAGCACATTCGGCCGCGAACTCCTTGCCATCTACCTAGATATTTATCACTTTCTTCCCATGTCAGAAGGACGTCGGCAACCACATGGTGGCGCACACCGCCAAAAGTATGTGGCATACTACACACGTTTAGAGTGTACATGTACAATTACAAATCGGGCTTTGTATTCTACACGCTGTTGTATACTTTGACTTTTCAATGGCAAGGATCATTGTAAATCAATGCATCTTCGTGCACTTCTTAGGTATGCAATCACAAACCAATTATCCGATTGAAGCCAACTAAATATTGTACACTATTGTTTCTAATAAAAGCTGTTCATAATGATGATTTTATTTATTTGGTAAAAAAGGTGACGTCATACAATCCAATTGGCACTGCTAATCGCCTACATTTTCCTCATATCTTCCACATGTATTCCATCGTGCAATTTAGTAACAATACCGTAGCCACGGTCCACAAAAATTGATTTCTGTCGGAAAACCAAGGTTGTTGGGCTAACTGGGGCCTGATTTCCACTCTGATGCGGTAAAAGCTGTTGAAGTCCGGAAGTGAGTTATCCGTCGCAGTAAAGATTCATACTGTGCAAGTAACTAGATCCACAAGTACGTGTAAAACTTAATTAAATGTTTTCATGCCGCTGATGACTTTTAACAAACTATTCTCTACGAACAGCTGGTTTTGAATGAATAGAATAAACCATCGTCCGTTGTAACTATGCCCATAATTACGGCGCACAAAAGTAAAATGTAAGTTTAACATTTACAGTTAACGACTACTATTTGGAGTCCTGTTATTTAATCAGATTTCGAGGTGGGTGCACCGTGGCCGAAGAGATCCACGCAGCAGTATTCAGAGGATCTGTCATACACAAGCTCGCTAATAAAGCCCGTGGAACAAATACTGATTCCAAGCAGAAGGTTCTGGTAATTTATACATATTATTTACATTGTTAAAAACTTACCTCTAAGGTGGAACCTGAACAAATTCCATCTAAACGCTTCAAAACAAACAAGGGTTCAGGGTAAGTCCCTAGAGAACCATGTGTAGCATATATACAAGTCTTGTTTCAGTGACATAATAAGTTCAAGTAGGTAAGACAGTTAAATGGCTAACTTTTGCAGTTCTCAATTAGAGAATTGGGCCACAATGAAAACAAGAAACCTGATTCTAGTATAATTAATAAATCAACACAAAGGTAATGACTAGTGAAATTCTAAATTCTTGGTGTTAGATACATCCCAATAAAGGTCTCCACAAAAGGTTTATAACAATGGAAAAAGACCAACTTGCAGAGCTTGATGAAAATTTCTTGTCACTGGCGCAATGTGAAAAAGAACAATTCTAAGATTGACTAAATGAATCGATCAATTCACCAACTGCGTGCTGAGACCAATACGCTCTCACCAGATCGAATTTTCATTGTGCAAATGGCATTTTTAGTTCAAAACTTGAACGATTTGTGCTTACTCAAGGAAGATCTGCGCAAAATCGAGACAGCTTGCAAATTCATAAGTTTTAGTATAATGAACATTACTGTTTATTCTATTCGATGTAACATATTTGACATCCAGATGTAGTGAAAACATCGGTGAATCAATTCAAGCTATGGTTTGCAGAGTTTCAATACTTCCTTTTGCTGTCAACTCAACTGGGATGGCATCCAGGGTAGTGCTGCCTGGTCTACATATCCGGTGACCCACGCAATCCTTGATAATTGAATAAATGCCGTGTATTTGATGTTCAACGCCTAATTTTCCTAAACTAGGGGCAGTGGGAAACCTCCCGTATAAGTTTCATCGCCACAGGCTCTAGGCATACATTCAAGTCTGAACTGCATGCCACTTTTCAAGAAGAAAGCAGTTAGCTTCCTCTTGAACGTGCTATCATTGACCTCATCCACCACATCAGCTGGAAGGGAATTCCATAGGTTGGTTACTCTGGGCGAGAGTCCATATAAATACATATATATATAGAGAGAGAGAGACATTTATGTAACATCGGCTCGTAGTCAAGCATCGTGCCAACACCAACAATAATAACAATGACTATAACAGTCGACGGGTGGATTGGGATACGGAACAAAATGGAAAGAAGGTGGAACAGTTAAAATGGAAATGGTAGATAACTAGAATAACAAAATTTTTTTCACTGTACACATTTCAATATTTTTTGTGTTATTTTTTGCTTTTACAAGGCACGGGATTTCGACAGCATTCGCGCCACTGACTCCTATTCTGGGCCATAGCTCTCAACGTCTGTAATCAACGACAATCCTGACCCCTCGGGATCCAACCGAAAAGGCGGATTGCACCAACCGAAGTCCGATGAACGAAATCCTCATCCAATGTCCATGTGTTCTGTTCTGCTCGCGAGGAAGAAATCACTTCATTATCTCCGAGCCCACGTAGGATACGCCGCACAGATATGATGTCACCACGAACTCGATGATATAACTCCACGAACAGTCCTGTGGCCTGCAATCGTTCAGTTCAGTTCAATGTCCACGTAATTCGGCGATAAGGCGAGTGGCAGCTGACTGAAACCTCTCCGGCGTCATAAATTTGGCTGTTGTACACGGATATACCGCGGAGCTTGAAAACTCCAGGCGAGGTCAAACATGAGAGGTGTACACTCCCAAAACCGTCTTATTAAAGTTTGGAAAAGGAACACGGAATATCTCCAAGGATTCTCCAATTCGAGGCACAAGCTTTATATGACTGTTTACTGGATCTTAACGACATGCAGACGAGCACCCTGAGGTCCCGTTCGCATGCAGATGCCAGTAAGGGAGTGTCCAGAAGGTGGTACACTCTTAGACTGGGCGACCCGCTGATGAACATGTAATGATATTTTGGGGATTTATCGGTAACTCTCACGCTCTTGACCAGATCATCAAAGCATTCAGGTCCTTCTGCAGGGTGTACAGGGTGTACAAGCTACAATATTCCAGATCCTCCTCTTAGCAAGACCATAATGAGATTTTTCCAGAAGCACAGTTGAACGGAAATCAGGATCCATTTTGTATTTCTTCGTTTTTGTTTTCTAAATTCGTAAAAGCTATATGTATTGCACTGTTACCGTCAACAATTCAGCAAATATAAATATTAAGAAGGAACAAGAATATTGAAGAAATTTTACACAAGCATAGATGAACCACTGATTTTCAGTACCTTACAGTTATTACGTTCTTTTATATTGCATTTGTTGTAATACGTTCCTGGGCGTTTTATTTAACGGTACATATTGGAATGGGATAGTCCTTGAGCAATCAAACGACTAATCAATAGAATCAAAGGGAGAGGTTTAAATGCAGGCCGAGCAATTAGGTGGGAACCAAACAGCGTATGTTTATCAGCAATTAGCGAGGTAGTTATATTATGACTAACGTGGGGAGTAGAAAAACGGATGAAGAAATGGATGGATAAGAGTAGATCTTTTCGTGGATGACGGAAAAAACGTGCTAAGAGCGTGTTTTCAACTTCGCGTTTTATTCGGTAAATTTTGCGCGGCATATTTGCGAGTCAGAACGCGAGAGATTGTGCGTTGTACTCGCGTTTTTGCTGGCAGGGTTAATAAGCCTTCTGGCAAACGCGGAGAAGTAATGGGTAGAGTCCGGGAAATCGCAAGGTTAGGTAGGAGTATCCTAAATAACTGACCATAGAGATACGTTGTTTTTCTAGCGCTGGAGAAACTAAAACCCCATCGTTGGAGGATTCTACTACCAAAGCACTCCAATGAGATCTATTTGGAGCGAGTTGACTAAAAAGACAAGGAAATATGTAACATTATAGCAATCTCGACCAATGTTTTACAGTATTGGTGGATGTAGATCGTCAATGTAGTCGAATATGATCGACTAATTATAAGCAGTCCATTATAATCGACTACTGCTACTGTATTTGTATTCTGCTATATATGGTATATAAAAATAGCATGCCATATAGCATATGCTCTATAGATAGCAGGCTCTGCAGGATACCCTGCTACTTATGGGGGTCATCAGCTACATTCGTTGTTAAACAGTATTTAACCTTTAAAATACATTCATTATAATTTTCGGTCTCATAACTCATTTTCATTCTTTAATCAATCTAAGTGCATGTATTTTTGGAGTCGAACATCTCTGGTTTTTGTTTTAACTTTTGGCGGCAAATGATGGTCTGAGTGAATCTAATCTTATGTTGGGTTGTCGTTAGCTACCTTTGTGTAAAAGTTCTTAACGTTCATTGGATAGCAAGTGAAATTTTGTGATACAATTATTTCATTGTCATTGTTTTTTGTTGTATTGGTAAATTTCTTCCGATAATTATTTCAGTAAGCATGCAGAAAACATGCAATTTTATTCAGCTTCTTAAAATGTCATCCAAATCTCTTTGGACATTTTATTGCATACCAAAACAACGGATGCAACAGGTTCAGTGTCGTGTTTGTGGCCACGAAAGTCTATATGAATACCGTAAAAGGTATCCAAGAACTATAGGTGATATAAATGTAAAACATGTATTTTATTTGCAATACGTTTTATTATATAAGTGCAGCTCACTTTCTTCAATGTGACTTCAACCTTGCGAATAAATTTAATTTATCAATGAAACACCCCGATTTTCAAGGCATATGCTTGATGAAATATCAGACATGTGCAAAATTGCTGGTTTGTTTAGCTCGTTTGGTTCAACAATGTTCACCCCTGCTTGCGGAAGAAAGTGCCTAAGTGCCTTGGAACAAAGTACACAAAGCATTAGACATGTTGTTAAACGATGTTTCATGAAGATACGTACTAATATTTCCCACGGCTCAGTGTGGCTGGAAGTGCTTCGAAAATATTTTCCAGCGCTCCTGCGTGATCTACGGACGTTATTGGGCACTCCAAGAAATTGCAGACGGATGACAATTAAGACTGGTACGTACTTTCACATTGGACTGGCCTCTAATTTGTGCTACATTTTATCCAAACTGCCTGATCCAAAGAATCAATTAAGAAGCCTGCAGCTTAGCGTTGATGGCTTACCATTATTTACGTCGATAAAAATTCATTTGTGACCTATTCAGTGTCACCTACCCGATTCACCCTTATGCCGGCCGTTTGTAGTTGGAATGCACGTTGATACATCCAAACCCAAGTCTGTTGAACAACCTCTTTCACCATTGATCAGTGAGTTGGATCGTTTATTGATCTCAGGACTGGAACTCAATAACGGTGACATTGTTATTATCATCCAAAAATTAATAACCTGTGCTGCGCCAGCACGTATGTTTGTTCGGCAGGTAAAATGTTTTGGTAGATGTTTTGGATGCAATAAATGTGTTCAATATGGACATTACTATATGGGCCGTAGGACGTATCACAATGTGCACGCCATTTTGAAAGCTAACGGACATTTCCGTAGTATGGTGTCTCTTTAAGAGGTTACCTATTGGTATGAGCAACTGCTTTTCATTGGACTACGTGCACCTTCCAAATAACAATTGTGAACATTTCATGAAGTTGTCCATAATTATTTATCAACTTTCGCATCTCCTGTTGTATTCATCTGCCGGCAATTTGTTATTAAGATGTTTTGTACACGACATGTGCCAAATTTACGGTCCACAGGAACTGGTATATAATGTACATACTTTTGTTCATCTCGCAAAAGATGTGCACAACCATGATCCGTTGGATAGCTTCTCACCATTCAAATTCGAAAGTAATAGGATGCACATCAAGAGTTCCATACATGGAACTATAAAATTGGGTCAACACCTATGGTTGTAAAATGGAACGTCAGTCATTTCCTGTATTGCGAGGGCTGTATCGAATAACGGATGGTTTTTTGATTTTTTAAGAAGAAATCCAAATGTTTCAAACTTTTTATCATAATTCAAAATATTCACCTTAGTGAGGGAGCTCCTGAAAATTGTGTAATTATAAACTGTGAACCAAGTTTTATTGACCGCATCAATACGGGAGCCGTATGGTTTCGAAAGTTGATTTTTTTCATCTTTCTTTGTAACCCCTATGAACCTACAGGATTTATATATATTTTCTTGTACTGATAATTAACCAACTGTACCCAAAGCACCAACTTTCGAAATGTTTTGTAAATGTATTAATTTATCCATCGGGCATCAGTTTACAATAATTCTCTTTATAGGCACTTTTAAAGTTTAATTCTTCTTTTTTGGTCAGTGTCTAGCTCATAAATATCTAAAACCGTTTTATAGATGTACTGCTTTGTACAGTTTGCAAGCAGTAATTCAATAGTTGAAGTGATGAAAAAATGGATGTTGTCCAGTGAAGGGGTCCGTTGGCCTCGGTTAGCAACTACGGATGCAGTCCAAAGACTCTTGGCGGCTGAAGTTGAGTTACTGACTACTGCTATTATATGCAAAGTGAAAATATTGTCTGAAACCGGTGAGTGACATGCTATTCTGAATCAATTTATGCAGACTCATTAGATAAAGCAATCCAGTTGGAAAAGAATTTAATAAATGCATCCAGTTGTGATAATAACGAAGAATTGGATGCTATGACATATTTCGCTTTAAAGTAGTTAACTAGAAGAAGATGAGGTTTGTTCTCAAAAATAATTTTCGTTTAGGAGACCGACTATTTTCATCCGTGATGATGACAAGGTACTTACTCTTAATCGACAAAGACCCGGAAGTCCAAAAACGGACAAAATGCCTCCAGTGCTCATAACATTAACGTTAGTAAGATTTTGGGTACCAGACATTATTCCTGTAACAGATCTTAGGCAAACGAGACTCCAGTGAAGAGTAATAATTCATGAAGATCATCTTCAACACCCCAAAATTGCCAATTGCAGGGGTTTGGGCCAGTATCATTATCCCCAAGCAATATTTAGTTTCTCCGCATGTTATCATAACATTCAGCGCTTCATGCACCACCATTTCGTCCGGTTATTCGAATGGTGACCGAAGTCTACCTTTACGAATATCAAGTAAAATGTTTGCTTCTATTTATTTTTTAGAAACACTGCGTTAATGTGTGTAGAGCAACAACTGTTGTAGACCAAAATGGAATTGCCACAACGAAAATTTGATGAAATCACAATATCACAGCAGCCAAAATCAGCCAGATCACTTGCTGTTGACAATAATGCACACAAAAGCGTGGAGAAAATGGAAGAACTGGAACTTGATTTGTCAGATGACAATACGTATGACAAATTTGTAGGTTTACATTTTGTTTTCTATTGAGTGTTTAGGTAAAACAATTGATGCAAATGAATGGGAAAGACGTAGCACATACAGTGAAACGTGCCATGTCGACAGTACTGTATGATCCATCAGCTGTGTTGATGAATTACACCGGAGAACATGGGAAAATACAAGCTTCCGGCCGTTTGTTTGTTAAAGATAACTTTACCCGTTTTATCGGTAAGTACTTATAATACGTTATGCATTACTTCATTAGATGCTATTCAGGCGAACCCCAGAGTTATCTACGTTTTAGTGGATTGTGTTGAACGCGATTCAGAAATACGGAGGACGGAATTTCCGCCAAAAAGGGTGTCACAGGAAAGTACTACAGAGCCATTGAACTATACCTTTTACTTTTTATATATATCAGTGAATAAATGGTCTTCTATAATACCCCAAATATCTGCATGAAAGCCTCTGATTACAGTGAAAGCTTGTTCGAAGGCGCTCCTATTTATGATACGCATGATACACTGGGGGTAATGGAAGATAAAAGGGATTTATTCAATTAGTCAATAAAGTTCGTTGTAACCATTACAAAACATGTGATTGAGCCCATTGCCAAGTATTATTACCGCGAGAAATATGGGTTATAAGAGATTAAAAAACAGAGAAGACGGCAATCATAAAACGGAATTTTCAAAATTGTAGCTCATTGTACTCGGCTAACAGCGCGCCATTAGACGATTGATGGGCTACATATGCGCTACACCTCTGGTGCTTGATTTATTTGTAACTCAGTTTTAGCCGGCTATGAGCGCGCTACTAGCCGACGATCGTCGTGTA